GTCCACCCTGACACCCCTCATTGTGGAGACAGCCCAGGGCTGACCCAAGGGAACAGTAATAATCTTTCACCTGCTCAGTTCCCACACGGGAAGGGTTGAAGTTGGCCCTGCTGGGAGGCTGAGCCTCACCAGGCCCCAGCACCACACCCCTGAGGGGAGGCCACCTCCCAAAATGGCGGCCACTTCCTCCTGCCCTGGGACGTGGCGCCAGGACCAGGTAGCGCCAGGTCAGGGCCTAGCTGCTTGCATGAGCTGATAGAGACATTGTTTTTCCTCATGTCGGGCTTTTTTGAGCCTCTTGAACTGTTTTGGACACCAGGCTGGGCTCAGGGGCCCCCTGCTCACTCCCATGGCAGGGTTGGGGCACTGCTGGGCTCAGGTGGTGGCCATCTCCCCACAGATGGCACTGCCAGCCCCTGACGAGCCATTTGTCTTCCTCACCCCCCTCTTGCCTCGGGCACCCTATTGCTCCCACACTGAGGAGGCAGCCGGCCTGGTGCTATGGTGGGCCGGGTGGGCACTGGGCTGGGCTGAGCCATGGCAGCCCCCAGGGCCAGGGCTTTGCCCCACTCACGCGTCCAAGCGGATCTTCTTGAGGGCCACCAGCTGCCCCGTGCGCTTGTTGCGAGCCTTGTACACCACGCCGTAGGTGCCCTCCCCGATCTTCTCTACCTTCTGAAACACCTCCTGGAAGGCGTCCATGGCACTGCCTCAGCCTTGCAATGGCAGCCAGGGGTGGCTGGCACTGCTTTCTGAGGGAAAAAAAAAAAAAAAAAGGAATTGGGAAAAACCCCACCAAATGGTGGTGTTTGCTCTCCCTGTGTGTCCCCTGAGCTGCTTTCAGGGTCTGCGTCCCCCCTTGCTGCTCCCCCAGCACAGGGACCTGTCTTGAACTGGGGCAGCTGCAGGCAAGCAGGGCTGCCTGGGGATGCTGGAGGGTGTCTGGGTTTGTCTGGGGGTCTTCAGGCAGACCCAAAGAGCCAAACACACTGTGCAACTGCCCGGGACCGGTTGTGTGCGACCAAGGTAGGGGAGTGTGTTGACTAAAGCAAAAAAATCAAGCAAAATAGATGTGAAAAGCTGCTTTGGGCCTGTGGAAAAGGCAGCAGGGACTGCACAGGGCCAAGGGAAGCTCTGCAGCTCAGTTTGTACAGTGCCTGGCATCAAGGGGATGCGGTGTGTAATTAGGGTTCTCTGTGACACGCTCAGGTCAAACACGCAGCAGAAATGTCTTTTTTTTTTGTTTGGGTGTGTTGGATTTTTTTTTCTGTCTTGTGCAATTGTCCCTTGAACCTCCCCACTGTGGGCTGTGCCACTTGGTCAGCTTTTTGGAAGACGTCCTTGGAGGGAGATTAATCATTGACTTGACAGCTGAGAGAAAACAAAATTAAAGAAATATTATGCATCATGGCACCAGGAAAGGTAGAGCCACATGGACTGTCATCTTCTGGAGGGCTTGTGGGCTCCATGTGTCTGGGTGGGCACAGCAGGACACGGCAGCCCACTGGCTGTGTGGGTCCAAAGTGCTGACCCCAACTTTTAGGTGACCTAAAAAGGACTGATATAGCCCATTGCTGAGCCATCAGCTCAAAATCTTTTTAAAATTGATCCCAATTTTGCCAGTTTGAAAGAACCAAAGCGTGGTTGCTCTGTGGCTGAAGAGGGATCCACATGGCCATGGCAAACTTCCATGTGGGTTCTCTGGTAGTTTATGAACGTTGAGTTTGCACTCATGTCTCTATCCAGAGTCGTTGTTGTATTTGCTCTCCTCTTCCTTGCTGGCCAGGTTTGTGGGTTTTGTTTTTTTTTTTTTTTCATAACACTTGTAGGAACCTGGTATTTTGGATATTCCAAATCCTGGCATCTTGGATATTCCCAACTCTCTGTAAAACCTGGCCATTTGAATAAAATTTAAGCACAGGGAGGAAGGTAGAAGAACAGCCAGGAGATGAGCTGTAAACATAAACACATCATGACAGACTCATCATTGTCTCTTACAAAACCAAGTTAAAATCTTGCCTCTTGAGATCATGTTTTTGGGCTTGGGCTGAACAGAGAGTGTGCTGAGGCAGGGCTTTTGGATCTCCATAACTGTGTGAAGAAAAACATAAGGCTAAACTATGATTAAAGATTATAGGAAGCACTGTAATTACTGAGCTATATCAGGCCCTTGAATCAAGCCTGCTGGTAACAGGGGACTTTGCCAATATCTGTTGCATTTTGATCTGCTGCTGTGCATTGTACAGCTTCAATCCTTATTTTCTGAACATTATACAAGAGAATCTGAGCAAAAAGCAGAAAAGGCTGCAGGTGGCTGAATTCCCCTGCAAACCACAATCCCAGCTCACTCCCGGTACAGGGATTCCTATTGCACAGGAGAGTCTTCTCTCTCTCTTCACTAACATTTTATTCTCACATTAGTGATGTTCTGTCTTTTTATTGATGGTTTAATTCTGCTAGGTGGGCCTGTCACGATGTTCTTAAACCAGAGTGGCTCTGATATAACTTCATCTCCTTTTCTTGCAGCTTTTTCAAAGCCAAGCGCTTCCTTACACACCCAGTACTTAGGAGAAGGAGGAAAATTGCATATTGCTAAATTTTCTTACATCATCCATGAGGTTTCTGCAGGGCCTGATGCATTTGCCTTAGCAAGAAAGAGGCTTTTAATCAATAAAAGACAGGCTGCCTTCTCTTTTCATCTTTATTTAGGAAAATATCAATCAAAACCTTTAGATGCTTCAAAAAAGTACTGATTCAAGGTCTCCTAAACTTAGTTGTGTCAAGGAAGAAAATCAAGTGGTGGTTCTCAGGGCACTGCAAGTATTTATTTTAGAGCTAAAGTCAATCCCCGCCCCCCTTGGACACCAGCTCCTGAAAACCCGAAGAGGCGGGTGCTACTGAAAATAGCGACTCTTTGTTCTTCTTGTTTCTTTGTTGGTCAGTCCAGATATGTGAGTGTTTTGCCAGGAACACTCCTGTGTGGCAGCGTAGTAGCCAAAAGCATGCACTCATGGACCCGCAGCCACACAGGGCTAACGAACTTTGCACAAATGCCCTCTACCTCCAGTGTGCCAACAGCCCGGTAACCTGCTGCGCCTTGGCAGTGTGTGTGGGTGTGAGCTGTTTTAACTTGAGATTTGGAGACTGCTCCTTTTTCTGACATCTCCAAGCCTTGTGTTACAAAAGGACCAGTATAATGCAAATGCTTCTTTTCCTTAACCACCCTTCTGAACAACCAACCAACCTGCTTCCCAGAGCTATTTTCAGTGATCACACCTGGCATGAATGGACAACCCACAGTCACATACTGACTCACAGTCTTCAAGTGTTTCCCTGCTTACTGACTTGACTTTGTCATTTGCCACGGCAAAAAGCAGGATGTTGAAAACCCACCTTCTAAGTTTACTTTTAATATATTTATTGCAAATGTCAGTGTATGGCTGGTCTCAGAGCTGCTGTCAGGACGTGCTGTTTCCCATCCGCTCCTGCCTCTCACTGAAGTATTTCCTCTGCTCCTGTATGGCTTGTTCCAGCAAGGGCACATTCATTCCTTCCACGCAGGTCAATATTCGTGCCTTTACCACGGGACCCTCACCTGGGAATATAAACAGCAAGCTTCTGTAGAAAGAAAAACAGAGCAGCTCAGAGGCAAACAGAGAGGTTCCCTCCAGCAGCACATGGCTCCAGCTGGCCAAATAACCATAGCCTGAAAACTTGCAGGCAACCGGTCTGGCCGCGCGCCACCACAGACACGAGCAGCAGACCTGGAAGCAGGTTAATTCAGTGATGTGCTTTCCCTCTGCCCTGTTGGCTACAAAAAGCTGGTGACTGACATTGCGCTCTCCTTGCACGGGGGAACGCTGACCCCAGGACACATCAGTGCCAGTGCCTGCCATGCAGCATCTCTCTACTTTGTGGCTGGATGAAGTTTGGTTTTCCCTGTCTAAAAAGCACCAGGGATGGGTCTAAGCTCACTTCTGAATGCCTCTCTGCAGACAAGAAGAGGACAGAACAAAGCTGGGCTTAGAAGAGGCTCAATGCTGACTATAACCAATAGTTCATTGATGGCATTCAAATGGTAACACAGAACTGCACAAAAGGGGCCAAACCTTGGTGACACAGCCACTGTCTCAGCCCTTCCAACCCTGAAAAATGGGGCCAACTCACTCCTAAGCCGCGATGACTAAAATAACCTGTCTTTCTAAAGGAATATTGCAGCAGTGGCTTAGCAGGTCACTAACACGTGCAGTGCGGCTTTCCATAGGCCACCGAGGCTTTCAATGGCATGGATGCAAACATTTGTTATCAGGCGTGCTCAAGACAACACTTGGGATTTGCTTCACAACCCCGTGGCCCAGCCCACATCAACTCCCACGCAAGGCACTGTGCAGCTGGAATAACACTCAGGGCACCCCAGGGTGCCCTGTGTGACAGAGCCAGCCTGCATTCCTCACGCCCCATGTCTGAGGGCAGGGATATAATTAGAGCCTTGCAAGGATGGCAAAGACCAAACCCAGCCAGCTCGCAATGAGGTATTGCTACAATCAGCCACGGTTGGAGCAAAGATGATGTAGTGGCTGGCAACGATGCCAGAAAGCTTTAGCACAGGTTTCACAGGCTCAATGAGGCTGCTGAGGGCGCTGCTTGTTTCTAACGAAATCTGTGCCGCAGCACCAGATTTTCAGCAAGAGAAGGGTGGCTCTTCTCATGGTCAACGGGGAGAGACAGGCTCCCGCCCCAAACCACATGCTCGTGTGACTGGAGGCAGCCACATGAGATGAGCCTGCCTCAGCCAACGCTAACCTCAGTGACAGTGTCCCACCATGCATCCAGGGAGCCGGGAGGGAGCTGATAAACCACAAACAGCAGCAAAGGGCACTGGTTCCTGGAGCATTTACCTTCCCTGTGCTCAGCCTCTCCCAGGACCATGTAGCGAGATCCCAGCTGGGCTTGGAATGGCTCCACAAACTTGGTGTCGACACAGACCCGGTACTGAGCCGAGCTGTGCTGAGCGGTCAGAATGGCTTCGGACTGGGCCAGGTCATAGCAGCATAACCTGGGAATGATCGATTTGGGAAGCTCAGCAGTGCAGAGATACAACAATTACAAACAAAGGGAGGGGAGCCAGCCAGTGAAGGAAAGGCCTGGCTTGTAAGGAGACCAGGGTACCCTTCTCACCTGCCAAACGTCCTCAGCGCCTCCCCTTCTGGGACTGAGCTGTTGATCTCCCATGGGAAGTAATAGACCCCAGCGCTTGGCAGCATCTCGCACAACCACCGCAGGGCCTGCAGTAAAGCAAAAGATCTGAGTTTGTGCCACCTCAGTACCTGATCCAAATACTAGGTGACACTGCCCCAAAACTCCTTCCTTGCCCGGGGCCCCACCCCATCCAGGGGGCTGCAGGAGCTTCATAGCTTCCCTGTTGAGTCCTGGTTGCAGCTCAGCACGTGTGCCAAACCCTGGGCATCCTGGCATAAAGAGGGGCTACCTTCCCCCACCGCAATCCAGCGTGAATAGCAACAGGCAGCCCACCAGATCCCCCAGGTCTCCCCCAGGCTATGGATGGGTTGAGAAAGGTTAAAGAAATGGGAAAAATGGTGATTGAGAAGTTCAGAGAGCGTGAGGGACTGAGATGCAGGAACAGATCCAGCGGCTGGGGTGACGGGGCATCACGCAGCAAGATTTAAGGTATGATCCTGAGTCTGTTCTCATGCTGCAGGATAAGAAATTCTGGCAGTGTCTGACCCTGCAGCTAGAGAACAACTACTTGGATACAAGCCAGCCTGGTTTCATTGGCGGTCTAACAGGGTTTAGAAGACAGCAATGAGTGAGAATGATTCACCCCAAGACAAGACTCGGGTGGGACCTCCTGGGAGCTCCAGCAGTGGAGCAGAGCTGGCACAGGCAGGCCGGCCACAGTGCAAAGCGCACAGAAAAGCAGGAACGCAGAGCAGCTTGGGCAAGATTTTAATTCTGCCCAGCGAGTGCTGTAGCCAGGCTGCTGGTTTATTTTGGCATCATTTTCCCTCTGATCTCCCTTGCAGGGTGCTTATGTTTGGTGCGTTTCCATGCTCCATTTACTGCATTACTCTCTGGTTTCTTGCCCCGCTGGGGGGGACCCCAAGAGCTGTACAACGGCCCAGGCAGACACTCCTGCAGTTCAGGCAAGTGGGGCCACCCCAACAGGTCTGAGGACCCCCCATACTGATTATGCAGCAGCGGGGACACGCTGAGCTGCAACCCTGTGGCTTTAATGCTTGGTGCCCCTTGCCCACCCCACACATTGCTCAGGGGGTTGCAACCTTGCAAAATGCCCCACCACCACCTCCCAGAGGACTGCTGTGGGAGGCCGCCGAAACCAGGGCGATCCTGGCTCACCCCTTCTCTGCCAGTGCCCGAATTCGGGGTCTGGCTGCCCCGTGGCCTCACGCAAGGCTGTGCACACCCACAGCGGGCTGCGACACCCCTCTGGCAGGGTCCCAACCAGCAGCAACGGAGGTGGAAATCCACCTGCAGCTCCCTACACCTCCGCCTCACCTAACCCAGATTTAAAAAGCAGGTTCAATCCTGCACTGCCTGAGGTGGGCAAAGACCATCCTGTGCCGCTCAGGTTTTGCCCCTGAATCATGCTGTGCGGCAGGACGGGATCAGCCAGGGATGCAAGATGCTGAATTTGCATTTAACGCACTTTTTAACACACGCCCAACCCCAACGGCAACACACGAGGTGCCCACCCGTTGCACTACTGAACACGCGTGCAACCTCGACTGCAGCACGTTACTTGCGCGCGTAACGCCCCAAGCGCAGCACGGGACAGTGCGCTCCATCTGCGCACCTAATGCAGTATTTAATGCATGACCAGACGCAAGACGCTGCACGGGCATTTAATGACCTATTTATGTCATTAGCTGCTAAACACCCGGCTGCAGAGGCACCACGTTATGTGCCCTCTCAGCGTGCTGCTTAACGCACAATTTAATGCACGCCCAGCCCCAAGCGCAGCCCGTTGCACGCCCGCTCAAGGCGCTACCGAACGCACGCCCAGCTGCAGCGCGTCACGCGTTTATTTAGCGCACCGTTTCACGCACGATGATGTCACGCACGCCCAGCCTCAAAGGCCGGCGGCTGTACGCACGCCTAACGCGCGCGGCACGCCCGGTCCCTGACGCAGCACGTTAGGTGCGCCGAGGGCACGATTCGAGGCTCGCGCAGCCCCAGGTGCCGCACGCTGCACGCGCAGTTTAATGCGCAATTTGCAGCGCAACGTCATATGCGCGCCCTCCCCAGCTGCAGCCCGCTGCACGCGCCTGTCCAGCACTATTTAACGCAGGCCCCCGCAGCAGCCCAGGTCGCTGCTCACCGCTGTCGCCACCGGCCAC